AAAAAAAAAAAAAAAAAAAAAAAAAAAAAAAAAACCTACCCCTGAGGCATGAAGAAATCCTACTCAGTAACTCAGCAATTATTTTAAACACCTTGAAATTTTCTTATAAAATGTTAATTATACCACTAAATTAATCAGCACCTCACACACACACACACACACACACACACACACACACACACACACACACACACGACACATATTTGTACATTCAAATATCCCAGATAGGCTCACTGCCTCTTAATCTACAATTGAAATCATCTCATCCCTATTTAGAGTCATGCAAAGCGTATCGGCGATGTCGTCCCCGAGAAGCCCATCACGAAGCCCCCTCTCACTTTCTTGCTAACCTTGCCCAAGTCCTCCCTTGCCCTGCCCAGCAGCCCATACCTATCAGCGCTGTTGAGTAGCCTTGGTCCTTCAGAAGCTTGGCGAATGTGATCTCACTGGGGGGAAGTCCTCCAGAAGAGGCCACGAAGAGGAAAACTCCAGTCCGGAACCGAGAAGCCATTCCTGAAGCAGGAAAAAAAATCAATCCTTAAGAACCAAGAGAAGGCAGGAGCTGGGGGGTCACCTGGAGCTGTCGCGCAGTCACAGCAATGCAGATGGGAGGTTACCTGATCGGACCGGGTATCGACCTGTCAGGAAGGCTGCCCTACTCGGTGTACACAGGGGCGATGCTGCCAGGTGCTGGGTGAGTTTTGCTCCCCCGCTGGCCAAACGGTCAATGTTGGGAGTCCTAGAACAAAAGGATCACGTCAGGGTGGTGATCTTCAAGATGCAGCTGCCCCTGTGTCTCTTCATGGTGGGAAACCTCTCAAAGACGAAGGGAAACTGGGTGGTCATACAGGGGAGGCGGGGGGCAGGGGAGGTGAGAACGAAGTGACATGGGACCGAGACTCAAAGTAGAACGAAACCAAGGAAATATCTAAATGATCCAGGAATGACATCCCCAGGAGGTCCACCCACCTCCTCAGAAGGCTCTGAGCACCTGTCCCCTCTGGCCCTGTGACAGGAGGAACCAAATCTCGGGAGTGGGCTGCTGCACGGAGGAGTGAGAATCAGACTCCAATTTCTCCCTTTCATGCCCCCCAGGTTAACTCTGTGCCCCCAAAGGAGAAGCTCCAGGGTCAGCCTGACTCCCCTTTTCCCAACCACAGCCAAAGGGAAGCCCACAACCAGCTGTCATCATTTGCCTGTAGCTCATTTCCATCTGCCCCCAGGAAGATGGAAACAATCAGATCCCACATGCCTCCACCAGTGGACATCCACAAATGGGGTGCTGTGGTCCAGGAAAAAGGGACACACACCACAGGGAAGAAATGACACTCCATGACCCCCGCACACCCTTTGTTGGTTTATTTTTTTTAATGCTTAATAAACACTTATGTGTGAGCTCACTTCCAGGACGACGCATTGTGCAAGATGAGCTATCCTGGTGCCTTTTCTCCATGAACGGATTGGCTGGTCATCTGTGGAAATCATGCCAGTCTTCCTAGGCATTAATTCAGGAATTAACCTCTTTCAGTGTCTGGACCAGACTGAGCTGTCTCTCTCTACATGCTTTCTGGGGAACCCAGCCTCCTTCCTGTCTGCCTGGCTGGTCATCTTCCATCCTTCAGTTCCGGGCATAGATGGGATATTCATAGGCCTCCACTACCTTCTTTTGTCCATGGGAGGGTCCTGATCTGTATGTAGGACAGTGGTCCACATCCCCTATCCCAGCAGCTTTCTCACTGCAAAGTAATGGCACAGCCAATTGTGCCCCCTCCAAGACGGCTGCCCATGAGGTGGGAGCATGCATCTTGTTCACTGCGTGGTCCCACAGCTCCCCTAGACAGTGTGCATACACAGTCGTCCCGCGATAAAGCATCACTTGAATGGGGAAATCATTTCACTGCATTTGTGGTGTCAAACTAGTCTGCCTCTATTAGGTTAGTGCATGTGTTTAATTGTCCATATTTCTGCTTCTCTTTTGCCTTAAATGACAAGATGCTTAGAAGACAGAAACTCTCTCTCTGTATTTGACTAAATCCTCCTACCGCCTAGACTGGCCAATGGAAGAATTTTTCTATTTTGGGATGTGATATAAAATATAAAATGAGAAATATAATTCAGAAAGAATGGGAATCAAATATGGAAAGCAAGACAGATCTGGGGTAGATATCACCATATGTTTTTCCATGGAATTTTGTAGACATTCTTTTCTTTTGATGACTGGTAGAGATTAAACCTTAAAGGCTTGACTTTAATCTTTTAAGCTAAGGCACCTTAGTAAGATCAGTTACCTATTATTTTGGTAAATTTTAGAAACATGTAATATTGAAAAATAAAACAAAAAAGAACTTACTAGAAATTATGAGCCTGATAAAAACTAAATTAATAACATCCGTGTCACACATGTCAAAGAGTGATCTCTAATGTTTGTATAAAATTGGGGCATAAAACACACATGGTCAATTAAAATTTTAATGGAACACTGAGTACAGATCTTATCAGTGTATATGCTTAAAAATACATCAGTACATATTTTAAAAATAAAAAGCAACATCTGATACAAAGATTCAGGTTGCAATTGAGAAACATTTGTGTATGTCTTGTAGGCAAGTGTGTCCTTAAAAGAATAATTTATTTGTTTAATTTTTTTTTGACCTGACATGTCATGATGAAACGTACTTTCCACGATGCTTTGTCGTGTTGAAAAGATGAAGACTCAGAGTAAATGGCACAAAAATAAATCCCTGACCCACAGCACTTGGCAGTGCGTCCATCCCCAGCTGCAGGCATTTAGAGGGTACAAACCCTCCAGGAAAACTTTAGTACAAGCAAATGCTGTTTCCTCATCCTCTCCTTTAAGTTAGTTTGCAGTGATCTTTTGTGCAATGAAGCCCATTCACAGAACTACTTCTACGTCATTGCTTCCTCATTATTGTGAAGAAAAAAATGAAATTCTAATGCCAGAGGACTTACTTTCCTTTTTAGACTAAAGGGACTTTAAAATTTCCCTCACATTAAGTCAATTTTAGGCAGAGGGCTTAGAAAGAAGACATCGTTCTCTGTTACGCAGGCCTAAGGGTCAGACGCCACTGCATCTGGTTCCCAGTAAGTTCTTGCCACTGGGGCCATAATCCCTGGCCCTTTAAAAGTTATGCCATCATAACATGTGACATCTTTTCCCACGATTATGTGCCAGTGCTATAAGCTGAATGTCTGTGCACCCCCACCCCAAATTCCTATGTTGAAATCCTCACCCCCACCAGGATGGTGTTAGGTGGTGTGGCCTTTGGGAGGTGACGAGATCATGAGGATGGAGCCTCATGAATGGGATTAGTGCCTTTATAAAAGGACCCCAGAGAGCTCCCTTGCCCCTCTCACTATGTGAGGACACAGTGAGAAGGTGCCTTCTATAAACCAGGAAGAAGGTCCTCACCGGACATAGAATCGGCCACGCCTTGATTTTGGACTTCCAGCCTCCAGAGCTGTGAGCAATGAATGCCTGTTGTTTATACCCAGTCGGTGGTGCTGTGTTACAGCAGCCTAAATGGACTAAGGCAGCCTGGGTGGCTGACGATGAAGAAAGCCTTGGGAGGGAAGGAAAACTGGGTATGGAAGTGAGAGTGAGGGGTTCATATGCCAGGATGGGGTGAGGCAGGCTCAGAACCAACTGAACCCAAGCAAGATGCCAAAAAAGAGACGAAATAACTGAACAAATGGGATAACACTTAATGTGTACAAAGCAGCCTAGCGGTGGTCATTAAGAAAAAATCATGATGAATACCTTTCTAGTGACCTCCCTGAGTTTATCCAACTCACTGTGCATATTCAGATACACTGACACCTGCCTCCACGATACCTATATCTCCTGTCTATACACAGCCAAGCAGGGATGGGTGCTGTTGGGAGGGTTTTAAACGTTTCCCTGTGGTCTGTGTGCTGTAGATCTGTGCTAACCGTCACTGGGGACTGTCACCTATGAACACAGCCATGTGTATACCCAGGAGCTGCTTTGCCCTACCTGAGAGTCTTGTTCCCATAGCACCCGAGATCTCCAATGCCAAGGTCGTCAGCCATCAACACGACGATGTTCGGCCTTGATGCTGCACGGCTCTGGGCTTCGCACAGAAACAACAGCAGAAGGAAGAGGACACTCATCTTCCTGCAAAGGGCAAGGAGACAAAAGGGGACTGAAGGACATAGCGTTGTGCTCGGTCATGCCACTCCTTTTCCAAGACCCCCCTCCTTCCTTGCACACATTTCAGATGAGACCAAAATCTGCCCGCCGGCCCCAGACCACATGTGCCTTGTCTGAGAAGTTGCTGGGTGAGGAATTTTATCCTCTCCTTCCCACGTGTCTGTTTCCAAAACACACATCCCCCCTGGTAACTAGTTGTGCCTTTCTTCAGAGGCGCTCTTTGGAAAAACGAAAACGCGATCGCCTCTTGGCATCTCTTTATGGAAGGTGGGCTCCTCCAAAAGGTAAACGTCTCTACTTGAGCACCGGGACAACAGCTGTTTCACTGAGATCAAATTTGCAATGTCCTATCGTTTCTAAAATTAACTGTGACTTTTGATTTGGTAGCTTTTTAAAGGAGAACATGCAAATATTTCAAAGCTTAAGTGCAGGGAGTTGCCAGTCCAGGGCAGCTCTGTGTGCTGGCAAGTGTGACAATGGAAGGGAACCCCCCCATCGCCGAGGTCTGTCACCCCAACACCATCTCACCGCCTGGCATTTCCTTCCTTGCAAGAATGACAAGAGGGAGAAATTTTAGGAGAGGCTGGTGGCTTTGCACACACTCTATCACCCCTTCTCCCAGGCCCCTAGAAATCACCAACTGAAGTGAACAGGAGGAAACCTGCAAACACCCGAGCAGCTGGGAAAGAGTGGCATCCTCGTGCCCGACCCCTTGCCATGCCTGGACCAGACTGAGGTAGGCACCCAGCACCTGTGCCCACCCTTTGAGAGGTAGGGACCCAGGGAAGCAAGACAAGACCATGGCAGGACCTCATCCCTGGAATCTGAGACTACATCACCTTACATGACCAAAGAAACTTTGCAGATGGGATGGAAGACTTTGAGGCTGGGAAATTATCTCGGATTATCCAGATGAGGCAAATGCAATCACAAGGGTCCTTATTAAAAGGAGGCAGAGGACATTTGACTACAGAGAAAGAGGAAGGCCACACAATAATGAAAGCAAGGGGAGAAAGGGGATGTGAGGCAGGGCCACCAGCCAAGGAACGCGGACAGCCTCCTAGAAGCTGGAAACGCCATGAGGCAGATTCTTGCTGAGAGCCTCGAGGAGGGACTGACCCTGCTGACACCTCGGTTTGAGCCCCCTAAGACTCATTGCAGACTTCTGACCTCCAGAACTGTAACATGATAAATCTGTGTTGTTTTCAGCCACCGAGGTTGTTGTCACTTGTTAACAGCAGCCACAGGAAACCAACATGCCTGGGATATTAAGTGTGTGTTCCACGTCTGGTTTGTTCCCTGTGCCATCCCTGCAACATAGAACCATTTCTGGCACACGGCAGGAGTGCACGTTTTAGTCTGTCACGTTTGTGTGTTTACTCAACTACCCGGGGATCCTTGGCGGTCTGCTCACATTTAAGAGCGAGACCCATGGTTTGTTCCCTGTGCCATCCCTGCAACATAGAACCATTTCTGGCACACGGCAGGAGTGCAGGTTTTAGTCTGTCACGTTTGTGTGTTTACTCAACTACCCGGGGATCCTTGGCGGTCTGCTCACATTTAAGAGCGAGACCCGGGGCGCTGGTTCAAAGGCCTGTGAGTACATGGTGGGATCGCGGCTTCACCTGGGGGGATCAGGTGCGAGGCTGGGCTGTGTGTTCACAGCCTCCTGCTTGGGGTGTAGGCACGTCCAGCTGGTGGCATTCTGGAGCTGGAGTAAGGGAAGCTGCTGGCGCCCTCACCCTTCCCAACAAGGGATCTGATGAGTCCTCCTGTTCCCACCTGCTGCTTTCTTTCTGCTCTGAGCTGTGCCCAATGCCGGGCCCTTGGGCCCTTCCTGATGCACTCGGTCCATAGAGCCAGCTTGTTTTCTGCTGGGAAGGGGAACACTGTCCAGCTCTGCAGAGTTGGGGTGGGGATCTCGAAAGCCCAACCTTTTCCATAAAGATGCACAAGCTGCCCTTTGATCTCCAGCGTATTCCTCACCCCGTCTTCAGTGGTGCCTGAGCTGCCATTGCCTGTGCCTCCCAGGATTCTCTGGTCACTGTTCTTGCTAGCTTGTCCCTTACCAGGCAGGTTGGTGGGCCTTACTCCATCCTGCTACGTCACTGACTTGCCATCTTCCTTGATTCTCTTTTGGACAGGAGTCGACGTGTGTTCAAGCTGCCAGGTCGCACAGAGGCCTGACTTCCTCAGGATTCCCTCCCTTCTTCTCTGGGGGACGCTGACTTTCTAGTTCACTGTTTTATTTCCTTCTCTCCGCACTCCTTTGGTTTTGCCACCCGATCACCCCCACCCTGCAACAGGTTCTCCGTTCAGAACCGGAATTTCTGTTGACAGGGATGTTTTAAGGATGTCACTCAACAGGTTATACAGCCCGAGAGAGGCCTGGCTCGGTGTCCCGGCAGGTGGCAGGTAAGCATGCAGCATGATAAACCATAGCCCCAGGCCTCGTTCAGTATCTATCTTTTCATCCTCTCCCCACCAGCACTGGCAGGTGGAGGTGGCATCTCTCCCAGCCTGTGGTTTCCAGTGCAGAGCCAGCTTTCTGTCCCCAGCAACTTCTAGAGCCAAGTCTCTGGTTTTGCAGCCCTGAGCCTGAGACCAGGAACTGGAACTCACCGCTCTGTCTTTCTGTCCCTCACTGGCCCTGGAGGCACGCTGAGCCCTGCTGCACCTCTGCTCTCTCTTTATGCTTTGGCTGTCACTGCTACGAATCTGGGGCACTGAGGGTCCTTCAGCCTGTGAGCTGGCAGAACCACCTTGACCTTAGTCTACATCTACTCTTCAGTTCACACCAGCCTGGCTGGATGCAGACGGTTCCTATGCAGTCACCAAAGACACTGGGCTTCAAGGCCAGTGGACACGGTGTGGCAGATTCCTCTTTCTGGCTTTCTGGTGACACCTGTGCAAGCGAGCCTTTCCCTCTCAGGAATGTGCCCCTCTTTAAACACACTGCACAGGTGTCCTGTAGTGTCTCTCTTTTCTCAGAGTCTCTCTTTGCTGGTTCTTCCTCATGCACAAGCCTCATAATCAGAATCACAACCCTACATAATTACAGAGGTTGGACAAGAGACTGGAAACCACCCAGGTTTAAGAACCAATAGGAAGAGGGGACTACGCCAATGGCAGCTCGTATGCCACCCTTGCAGGACCTTCCAATTTTTAACGAGAAGATTGATATACATATTCGTGGCTGCAATTATATAACCATCAATTTAATAATTAAAAAAATATATATGTGGGCCAACATGGTACAAAAGAGCCAAAGAAACAATAAAAAACATCTTTTCTGGCTACAGGCCACTTCCGTGTGACTGCTGTCCAGTCTCTAAACGTTGCGAGTCTCAGAACACTTTCTACTTCCCCATCTCCTGTCTTCGTGAGATATAAATGCTCTTTCTGAGACTAATTGCTCACTGAATACTAAGAAATGCAGAAGTTCTACTTTCAGATCAACTGTA